CCACTCGACTCCTGCCCACTCGACTCCTGCCCACTCAAAACCTGCAATTAATACAATTAATAAATGAGAGAAATTATACAGGGAATTATTAATAGATATAACAGAACTAACAGTGAGACTCAGGGCAGCACAGAGAACTCCAAGGAAAAGTTTATTATTATATGTTTTATTAGGTCATATATGTTTTCCATCAATAAAGGAAACATGATGCCAAAGAAAATATTGAATTAGTTTTCAATTTGTAGCATGAAAACTTGTCAAAACAACCCCATTTAACAGAATGATTAACAGAACCTATATTGAATAATTGTTGGGGCAACGCATATGCACATACATGTCCCCCATGCTGAGCACAGTTTGGTGCTTCAGTTTTTCTTCTGCTTCTGGGAAACAGGTTCTGACTCACTGTGGACGGCCTTATGAGCCAATCAAAGGGCGGCAGAAGCTTGGTTTGGTGTAGAAGGCTTCCAGCCGTACATGTTTGAGCCCTTGCCTCGCAACGCTGCCAGTTCTGTTAGCTCTACGCCTGCTGAAGACACAGACATCCATCCCCGTGAACACTGGGACGGAACTCAATGGGAAAGGAAACGATTCTGATTTCAACCATTGCATATATTAGCTGCAACATATGAATCAAGATGCTATGACTGAAAAAAATTATTGACAGATGACCGTTGATATATGAGGCTGAAAGTAGGTGTACAAGCTGACGTATAATTAACTGGCCTGCATAAGATAACAAAGAAAACAAAACACAGATTTAAGAAATTTTTTTTTTTTAAATAGAAATGTTCTAACTTTTGGGACAATATGGTCTGTTAAAGAGTACATTTATATACATGTTTAAACCAGAATGATTTGAAATTGAAATATAATTTCCCTACAAGTTTAAGCCTCAGGAGCTTCTCTTTAACGCCCTTTGCGCGTTCTTTGTCTCCCTCTGGTGGTCACTTATGTGTGGTGCATCTCCTAAACTTTCAAACTTCCTCTGCAGCTTTTTTAGTGTCCTCACAAATTATCCTGTGCTTGAAATAACTGTAATATTTTTTTCATTTTAACTTGAGTGTTTTTGTTCTGTCTTTCTAAGCGCCAATGGTGTAAATACGGTAAGCAGAGACTGCAGTTGCTTATTGCCCCCTTGGGGACCCAGAGGCGTAGCCAGAATATTTTTATAAGGGTGGCCAGGCACTAACAAATGTCCACTGATGGGTGGCCGAAAGCGGATAGGCACCAGAACCTCAGCGTCAATCTACACTATTCCAACAGGAAAATTAATGAGCACAACATCCATATTTTCAAAATAGACACTAACTATACTTTCCCACAGGCTTTGCTAACAAATAGACGCATATATTTAAACACCCATGGTCTCTAAATTAAAGGTATAGTGAATAAAATTCTTTCAGGTTTGAGTTCTGGGGTGAACATCTTTTCCATTGTCATTACGTACCTACTTTTATCAATAATCATTATGCACAAAATTTATATTTACATGTACTTATATCTACATGAATTGATTATTTAATGTGTTTTTATTAAAATACTTATTTATTTATGATTTCACTAAACACTCCTAGATGACTTGCAGAGACCGATTATTTTCTCTTTACCCCATATAACTAAAAATCTAGTTCTAAAAGTTCATGAATTCTGTATTTATCATGTTTACTGTTAGTTTATTGATGAATATAATTAACCACATGGTTTTTGTTGTCAGGTAATTGGTAATATATGAAAAATTAAAATGTTTTGAATATTCCACTGGAGAGTATTACTGCTATTGTCTTAATTAGAGGGAAATAAGTGGTTGGGGTGGCTATCTAGCCCCGCCCCTACTTAGGACCCCTTTGCAATTGTAGATGAGGACGTCTGATTGCAGACAAAATGGTGCAAAAGATTCCTCTCAAACCCACCTGACACTGAACTGACTGACCGAACCTTATTTATACCGCAACACATGGCAGATTTCAACATAATGGTGAGCAGTTTAAAAACGACACCAATAGCAAAGCAGACAGTGGTGCTTTTAATTACAATGTTAATAACTGTGTATAGTTCATTAGATGGTTGGTAAAAAAAACAAACAAAAAAAAAACGCTCATATAATATGTTTCAAACCGCAATAAAGATCTTAAAAGATGTATTTGAGTATTTTATTTTTTATATTACGACTTGGAATTATGGGTAATCCTGAGTGTTGTACTTCATATGGGGCCCATCCAGATAATGTTGCTTACGGCCCGTTTATTGTGTCATTGCTCAGAGCTATTGCTGTGAACAACTTAACTATGTGAGTCATGCATCTAAAGACTCTTTGTTTCTCCATTTCGCTCCCATTGGTTCAAAATAAAATCACACTTATCTTAAATGTGGAACAAAAAACATCTGTGACTTGCAGGTAGGGCTGCATGTTGGAGCAGTTTGTACTGTAGTTTGCTGCAAGAAGGTTCTAGGTTTGATTCCCGGTCCAGGCCGGAACTCCAGTTTCCTCCCACTGATCTAAAACATGACTCTTAAATTTAATCTTTCTCTTAATTTTGATTTTTCTTAATTACTCTTAAAGTAATGATGGCCACTCGTTTTTCTTACTTAGCTGCTTTTTACTTGCCTTAATACAAATTGTAACAGTCTATTCAGTAGGACTATCAGCCACTTGACTTCTATGCAACACAACTGATGGTCCCAACCCCATTTATAAGGCAAGAACTCCCACTTATTACACCTGACAGGGGACACCTGTGAAGTGAAAACCATTTCAGATGACGACCTCTGGAAGCTCATCAAGAGAATGCCAAGAGTGAGAGAGAGAATGACATTGATTAATGAAAATTGTCTGACAAGGGGTATCAAGAAGTAAAACTTCTCATCCATACCCCTTTTCAGACTATTTCCATTAATCAGTGTCATTTCTCTGGCTCTATATGGCGACAGGTTTATTTGGTGGAGGATTTGTTTCTATTCATGCTCAGGTGAATTTAGTTAGTTTGGAAATTAGTGTTTGGTTTGATGTTCACTACTGAGCAGACCATAGAGGAGCTGAGCAGCTCCTCTGTAGTCCAACGACTTTACAATGCGACACAACAACGGCAATAACTTGTGCAATGTATGATGTGCAATTACCATTTAATACCCTGTGCAATAACTATATATATATAAATATCCATATAAACACCCTGTGCAATAACCCTGTATAATAATCCTATTATTAAAAACAAGCTGTCATATGTGGATGCACCGTATATACTGTAAATACCCCCATGCACTATTGAGCCGATGTAACATGTAAAATGTTCCACTGTGAGGTCAATAAAGTCAATCAATCAATTAACTAGTGTCTTTTGTGTGTATTTGTTTATTGTTGTTTGTCAAATTGTCTGAAATAAATTCCTACTCATTCAAGGCTGTATGGGGTGATTATCCAAAAGTGGATGTCATCATCAGTGAACCTGCCATCACCATAAATCTAACCTCAGAATAACTGCTATCCTTATTTCAGCTCAGATAATAAATGGTAACATTTATTGTTCAGTGTTTATGACCAGCCAGGTGTGAAAATATCTCACTAAACTGCTCACTACCATAGTGGATTAAATGAGATATTTCAATATTCTCTAAACTAGAGAAAGAGTTTAAAGAGACAGAAAGGTGGAAATAATAAAACATCAAAACATTTGTGGATTAAATGTTTCTATATTCATGTGATGATGAGATATTTTATGTTAATTTGGTTTATGTGGACAAACGGATCAACATGACGACAGTAGAAACTAAAAATCTCACTGATGTAAATGTTAGCTTTGACCTTTGACGGAAGAATGTTAGCATAATCCACTGCGGTTTCTAAATACGATAATGTCATCTTTAACAACTTTCACCACTTAGTGGCAGTAATGTTTAAAACCGCTGCTTTCCGACCACCAATAAACAAAAGAAGAAGAAGAAGAAGAGGAGGAGCGGCGTGTATCACGTGACAGTCGGTACTTCCGGCATAATGTTTTTAGCCGACCCAGGGATGTGGCTTGCTAGGGTACTGTGACTGTGTTCTTCAACCATGTTCTTTTAATCCTTTTAAACTGGATGATTTTGGACATGACTTCATCAAAGTTGAATCCTGGACTTCAAAACTCTGCTACGCCGACCTCCTTAGTGGAGGTGAGACCTAACTTAACGTTTAGCCTGTTGGTTTAGATGCTAACAGCAGTTAGCCTGCTGGTTTGGATGCTAACAGCAGTTATCCAGCTACTCCAGATGCTAAAAGCAGTTAGCCTGCTGATTTAGATGCTAAAGGCAGTCAGCCTGCTGATTTAGATGCTAAAAGCAGTTACCCTGCTGATTAAAAAGCTAAAAGCAGTCAGTGTGCTGATTTAGATGCTAAAGGCAGTTAGCCTGCTGACTTAGATGCTAAAAGCAGTCAGCCTGCTGATTAACATGCTTAAACCAGTTAGCCAGCTTATTTAGATGCTAAAAGCAGTTAGCTTGCTGGTTTAAATGCTAAAAGTATTTAGCCTGCTGGGTTGGATGCTAACAGCAATTATTCTGCTGGTTTAGATGCTTAAAACAGTTAGCCTACTGATTTAGATGCTAAAAGCAGCTAGCCTGCTGGCTTAGATGCTAAAAGCAGTTAGCCTGCTGGTTTTAATGCTAAAAGCATTTAGCCTGCTGGTTTGGATGCTAACGGCATTTATTCTGTTGGTTTAGATGCTAAAAACAGTTAGCATCTGCCTTCGATGCTAAAAACAGTTAGCTATGGTTTAGATGCTAAAAACAGTTAGCATCTGACTTAGATGCTAAAAACACTTAGCTATGGTTTAGATGCTAAAAACAGGTAGCTTCTGATGTAGATGCTAAAAACAGTTAGCTTCTGGTTTAGATGCTAAAAACAGTTAGCTTCTGGTTTAGATGCTAAAAACAGTTAGCTAAGGTTTGCATGCTTAAAGCAGTTAGTTTGTTAAAGTTAGCTGCTGTAGTTTATAGTGGTGGCCTTGTGTTTACTTGTTGGAGCTAAAGAGCTAACTCCTGAATCATTCATTGCTTCAGCCAGGTTGTTTATTGGTACATGCTTTAAAGAGCAATGAGAACAAACAGGATGTTCACATTTCTTAGATGTGAACAGGTAATTCATCCCTTCATCCAGTCACATTCAATCCACTCCAGGTGTCAACCAATCCAGTCGGATTCAGTTTAGTTTTTAAATTGGTTTCAATCCATGAATGACGGCTGATTGACTGGATTCCCTGAAGAGGATTTGCTTTTCCATAATGAGTCTGCAGCAGCAGTGGAGAGGAAAAGCTCCTTTTAACGGGAAGGAACACTGAGAAGGAAAATAGGAGCTCCAGTCCAGGAGTTCTTTCCATGTTAAACTAAAGGAGGAACTCTGGAGTCTCTTTATCCAGGAGAGAAATGCTCCAGGAGCAGACTAACTTTGTTAAACAGGCTGTTTAACAGATGAATCTGATTAATTGATGGTTTAACTGGGCTCTACTGGTTCTGTGTCAGCAGGTCGGACTGGTTTGCGTGGGGATGGACAACCAGAGCTACACCTGTGAATCTGGCCGCTGCTGTGGAGACGCCGAATGCTGCCTTAACTACTACGAGCTGTGGTGTAAGTTACCTTCCTGTTTCCTCCCTGAATAGGAAGCAGCAGGACATCTGGTCCATTTAGCTGGATCTGGATGCTGATGTTTGGAGGTTCTACTGCCTCAGAAACACTTGGGGATTAATTTGAGTCCCTGTTCTCTCTATGTAGAGGTCAGGTTTCTGATGGCGTTAACATGTTCTGTGGGTGATCCGTCTCCAGGGTTCTGGCTGGTCTGGGCTTTGATCATCATCCTGACGGGTTTTTGCATCTGTCACCACTGGCGGGCCAAGCAGCGCTTCCAGCAGCAGCGGCGGCAGAACGAGATCAACCTTATCGCCTACAGGGAGGTCAACAACAACTCGCAGTTACCCCTCTATCTCAGTAAGTCGCCTGCAGAACTCCATTCCAGCCTGTTTTTGGTTTACTGACATTTTTTGCTGCTTGATCACTACTTTTCGCTCCATTGGTCACGTAACACCTCCTCCACTGCGTGGCGCCATCTTTATTAGTCGCCGCTGTCTGGTAGTGGCAGCCTATGGCGACAGCATGCTGCTGTGATAGCAATTCCCATAATGCTTCTTGAGGAGAGCTCTCTGCGCAAAGCATTCTGGGATATATCTGCCTCTTCTGAGGCCTTTCTTTTCTTCCCTTCGTAGACACTTTTTCTCTTACGACCCCTGGCCATTTTCAAAGAACCACGGTGAGAAACATGAGCATCATTGACCGCCTGAAACCATAGCTCACAGCAGATACAGCATACGCCAGAAAAAGATAGCTAACGGGGTGAGCACGTAGCACAGCCTTATGTAAACATATCCCCAGAATGATTGACAGTTAGGAGGACCACTTTTTTAGATGAAATAATAGATCGTCCTCTATACCTTTAAAGTGGTTCAACTATAGATGTCCTTTAATTATTAAAGGCATAACCTTTTATTTGACTTTCTTCTTAGGTAAATGTTTGGAAGCAATACATAAATTCCTACATGGACAATTCATATGGACCTGGGTAAACTGCTAGCTTAACTAGCGGTTAGCTCTATGAAGTCAGGACTGGTTGTTGCTGTGTTTTTATGGCAAAAAGAGTCTTTTAAGCCCAAAAGGGAAGTCACTGACGAGTAGATCAGGATGCAGAGTAACAGTGCATCCCATAGCAACAGATGTTTTTATCCAACAAGGCGCCAGGTGACGCAGTTTTACGATGCAGTGAAGGTTTGAGCATCCCGTTGCTCCGGTAGGGTCGCTCTCCATTTGGTTCTCTGGGTCCAACGGCTCCCTCCATCTGTTCTCTGCAGGGTTCCTGCCGGTCTACCTGCTGCCAGCCTATGAGGACGCAGTCGACCGACCACAAACCCCCCCTCCCCCCTACACGCCCCTCCAGTTGGCGCCACCATGCTCCGACCCCCTAGAGGATGTCTGTGGCTCCTGCTCGGGTGCCTCCACGGAGCACGACGATAACGCCGACCCCCAGGAGGCAACGCAGATCTACTCCAGTGGCCCCAGTACCCCCGACAAGGACTCCACACCGGGCCGGTACCGGCGGTTCACGGGCGATTCTGGCATCGAAGTGTGTGACAGCCAGGATCCTCTGTGGGACAGAGAGGAGATGTTAGAGGAGGGGGGCGGTCCGCAGACCAAGCCTCCTGGGTGACCATGTCGGGGGTTGGCGATTAACAGGAACATCTACCTCACAGGGACAGCTTCGGAACCGGGGGTGGGGGGACCCAAACACCCAGGTTCTAGCAGAGATTCTGTGGATCCAGACCAGCAGCCTTTAATGAGATGCTGGGTTCATTTCTAAGGAATGTCTTTTTTTTCTAATTGAAATGTGTTGGAGGAGACATTTGGTTTGACTGTCAGCTTTACGTCTGTTTGGGTTCTTTGTATGAAAACCACTAACGATTATTTTACAAATCGATTCATATTTTTTACGATTAATAATCGGATAGCCAAAGGTTCCTTAAAGAAGACTTTTCTATGAAATCAGACCGGGTGAAACTAAAACCTTTTCACTTGAAGAGTTCTGGATTATTACGACGGAGTATCAGGGCCAGGTTAGAGATTTTTTTATTTTGAGAGTAAAGTCGTGGCATTAAGAGAATAAGGTGGTAATATTATAAGAATTAAGTCATCA